ATGTTGGGCAATGGGAAAGAATCTTTAGGGCATGCTTTGTTCAAATCTTTGTAGTCTACACACATTCTAAGTTTATTTCCCTTTTTAGGGACTACCACTACGTTAGCTAGCCATTCGGGATATTTTACTTCCCTAATGGATCCTATCTTGAGAAGTTTGGTTACCTCTTCTTTGATGAATGCATGCTTTACCTCGGACTGAGGTCTCCTCTTTTGCTTCACTGGTTTGAATCTTGGATCTACGCTTAGTCGATGGGTAGTTATCTCCGGTGGGACCCTTGTCATATCTAAGTGGGACCAGGCGAAGCAATCAATGTTATCGATAAGAAATTGTATGAGTTTTTTCCTGAGTTCGGGGGTTAGCCCCGTCCCCAGGTATACCTTTCGTTCTGGAAGATGCTCGATCAATATGGCCTGCTCGAGTTCTTCAACCGTGGACTTCGTCGCATCTGATTCCTCAGGGGAACCAAAGGCTCGAGGGATGAGAAAATCTTCTTCTTCGCCCTCGACTACATGTTCATCGAACACCTGTCCCTCGGACTCAACCGAGGGTATGGACTGTGATTGCTATTTAGCCACCTGTTTGCCCTCTGACTTCTTCGATGTGGATGGTTTCGATACCGATGCCAAGTCGTGTACTGCAAACATCTTCTTAGGTGCATGCTGCTCTCCATATATTGTTTTCATGCCATCCTTTGTTGGGAACTTTATCATTTGATAAAGGGTCGATGGTACCGCCCTCATGCTATGGATCCACGGCCTTCCAAGCAAAGAATTATACCTTATGTCACCTTCGATGACATGAAATTTGGTGTCTTGTATGGTTCCAACCACGTTAACTGGGAGGATGATTTCTCCCTTCGTTGTTTCACTTTCCATGTTGAAGCCATTCAAGACTCGAGATGCTGGTATAATTTGACCGAGCAACCCAAGCTGCTCCACGACCCTTGACCTGATTATATTTGCCGAACTACCTGGATCCACGAGAAAACGTTTAACTTGAACATTATTTAATATGGTAGAGATTACTAGTGCATCATTGTGAGGCTGAGATAAGGCCTTGATGTCTTCCTCACCGAATGTGAGGGTGTCCTCGGGTTAGTCCGAGTCCGTTTCTATCTTGTGATGGATACTTTGGTACGTTTGAATATAGGTCCATGTGGGACGTCGTCTCCACTGATGATCATGTGAATGACATGTTGAGGTTCTTCAGGTTCATTCTTCCTGTTTGCATCTCTTTCTCGGAAATGGTTTTTGGCCCGGTTGTTGAGAAGTTCATGAAGATGCCCCTCGTTGAACAACCGGGCTACCTCCTCTCTGATCTGCCTGCAATCCTCGGTCCTATGCCCATGAGTACCATGATACTTGCACATCAAGTTGGGGTTCCTCTAAGAAGGATCGGTCTGTATTGGTCTAGGCCACTTGGTATCTTTGATTCTCCCAATAGCTGAGACGATTCCTGATGCATTTATGCTGAAGTTGTACTCTGATAATCGAGGGACCTCGGCGGGGTCGGCATGCTTATCGAACCCGCTCTTGCTTATGAGTCCTCGAGAACCTTAACCTCGGTCGCTTCTCCGATCTCTCCGAGGAGTGTTGCGGCTCGGGCCGTTGTTCCTTCGATCGGCATATGGTTGACACCGTTCTTTGTTGAATCTTGATTCCCGATCTATGTCCCTCGGGGGCTTGGCTGCGAATCTGTTAGGATGAACTGAGCCCGAGGGGGCTCCCAACTGGTCGTTCTCGACCCTAATTTTTAATTGATAACGATTGTGTACATCCGACCATGTCACAGCTAGATATTCGATCAAGTTCTGCTTTAGCTGTCGAGATGCAATCGAGCTTCTTTCATTCAAACCTCGCATAAAGGCCTGAACTCCCCAATCATCGGAGACCGGTGACAATTCCATTCTTTCCATCTGAAACCTCGACACGAACTCCCTTATCATCTCATCATCCCTTTGTTTTATCTTGAAGACGTCCGATTTTCTTGTGGCCACCTTTATGGGCCTGGCGTGTGCTTTCACGAAGGCGTCCGCCAACATAGCAAATGAATCAATAGAGTTAGGAGCTAAGTTGTGATACCAAATCATAGCTCCTTTTGATAGTGTTTCCCCAAACTTTTTTCAATAATACTGACTCGATTTCATCGTCATTCAAGTCATTTCCTTTGATTCCACAAGTATATGAAGTAATATGTTTGTTAGGGCCAGTTGTTCTGTTATATTTCGGTATATCGGGCATGCGAAACTTCTTGGGAATGGGCATTGGAGCTGCACTTGGGGGGAAAGGTTTTTGTATGAACTTTTTGGCGTCTAGACCTTTCAAAACTAGAGGTGCTCCCGGTATCTGGTCTACCCAGGAGTTATAAGTTTCCACCTTCTTATCGTTATCTTCTATCTTCTTTTCTCCTGACTCGATGCTTTTAGTCAGTTCCTCGAGCATTTTCATGATTATGGGGTCAGTCCCCGAGCCACTTTCATCGGGTCTTTCAAGCGCCAGTTCAATATGTCGGGCGTTCACTGGTTCGGCGGTGTTTGGAGTCCTATTCTGACTCTGAAGTTGAGCGATGGCGACTTGCTGAGCTTGCAGCATCTAGAATATCACTTGGAGGCTGACTCCTCCTTCTTCCATTCCTCGTGTTCCTTGGTCTCCGGCTCGGGTTTCCCTGCGTATATCTCCTTCAGGATCTGCGCCTGAGTCCGTGTTTAGAGCATTATGTGAACTGATATCAACTGGCTCCATATTTGGCACTCCCTCAGGGTTGATTGGTGGTACACCGACCCCTATACTGCTGTTTTCTCCGAGACCTTCATTATCATGGACAGGTGCATTTTGTGTGCTAGACATATTTTAGCCTGGAATCAAAGAATCTTTGACAAGAAAAAACGTGAATAATAAAGTGTGTTATCAGAAAACTAGCACTAAAATAATCACTATTATCTTTAGCTCCACGGTGGGCGCCAAACTGTTTACCTCGAAAAATAAGAGTAACAATTAAATATGATTTATGGTTTTAAAGATATGTGATTTATTTCAATACTAGTGAATATACAAGTAATGTTAGGTTTAAGTAAGAAGAATTGATGAACCAAACCAGTATTGTTAGAGCAATAAGGACCTCGAGCTCGATTGTCTCAGGGGCCTCGAGGTGAGTTAAGAACAATAAAGTATGAATTATAAAGCAAAAACAGTAAAGTTGAAGAACAATTGTGGAGTAGAGTAAACGAGAAAAACAGAGTAGAATGTTCTATTTCAGTGAATGAGATGATGTTTACAAATGATTGGGGTCCCCTTTATATAGGAGGGAAAAATCCTAATATGGTACATTTCCAATTATGGTAAAGAATTCTATTGGTACAACTGTATAACAACCTAGTACGGACTTGTACTGTTTCGTACAAATCTTATCTCATAATTTATGCCCTGACCCACGTGTCCTTGAGAAATTCCCGCTCTTTCTTGAGTGTCATCGAATTTGTACTGCCCTCGAGGCAGATCATGAAGGGTCTCCGACTTGCTTCTCGAGGTGCCCACATCCAATCCAGGCTTGATTCTTACTTCGAGCTTCCCGAACTCGAGCTTGGGGTATGATCAAGTCTTTGAAATCGAGCTCTTCGATTTCGACCGTATACAACACCTTTGCCCTTGAATGGAAGGAATAATATGTTCCTTATATATGCAACCACCACCTAGTATTGGGAACATACTACTTCGACTAATTTAGATTTTCGCAGGGTAAGGCCTTTTGAATAAAGGAATTGCTTCCTATATATTGTGAATTATTGTGCTCTGAATCCGAATATGTAGTTAATGGAAAAGAATTATATTTATATCCATCCCATCATATTTGCTAGCCTCGAAGGTAATAATATACTTGATGCTCATTGATAACATTGCTAACCAGTAGGTGTGCGTGGTCATTATGGTTTTTTGTCATTGGCTAACAGTCATATGCCTTGCCATTTCACATTCGTTGTCTAGTCATGTTATTGTTCCTCTCTCTATTCCTGTCGAACTTACACACTCCTCACTCTTCAGCTATGCATTTTTTAATTTAATGATGTTTGTACGCATTTCGATTTTAGTGCTGGACACGTTTTCTTAATCTTTCTCACAAAAAAAATCAACTTTTATTCCTTGAATGTGTTTACTGATTTGAAATCACTTAAATTATGTCGTTAATTGTTGTGACTGAAAAAGATGATGTGTGTTTCACGACAAAAATAAAATTTAATTATAAAACATATTTGATAGCAATAGTACTGGACTATACTTGTTTTCTGTGAGTTAAAGAAATTTAAGTGAAATGCGATAAATTTTAAAATATTAAATTTAAGATATGATCTGTGGATATGAAAAAGAAAAAAATTCCAAAAGATAATTATTAAACTCAAAAAAATTATTTAAAGGGCTATGAAAGAAGTAAAAAATGTAGAAGGATTTTTAAATGACTTGACTTGAACGGTAAGCAGGAAACTTTTACACTTTTAAATGCAAAAAGGGGAAGAAGAAGAAAGAAGAATATATGAAACTAAAATTTCTTTCAAAACATGCACATGCATTGATTTTGACCCGATCTCTAAATGATTGTTAAATAAACATAAAAAATATTTACGTTATTTATCTTTCCTTCAAATATAAAAAATTCCATCTCCCGTCAATCTCAAAATTAACAACTCCGTCATGCTGTGTATTATTATATAATATATATATATATATATATATATATATATATATATATATATATATATATGTAATAACTAATCATCTAGAAGAGATTGCAATAAATAAACAAATACTCCGGCAATGATCTTCAGGTTGTTAGGCTCGTGTAATTGTCAGCATAGAATGTTAATTTTGCAAGATCTTTTTAAGTAAATGTTTAAGGTAAGTGTGAGCGGACGTGAAAACAAAAGGAAAATGCAATTAAAACTGTGATTTGAAGTCCGAAAAAATGCGCTTGTTTCTGTGCACTTTCCACTTGGATCAAACTGCTACACTTTCTCCAGACAGTAAATAACGACAATTTACGAATTACAACAAAGCAACAAATCAACCCGAAGACTTCAATATAATTACATTACGTGACTTCTTTCTGACCTTAATAACATTTAAGTCAACGTGAAAGTTTTTCCTCACATACCCTAATTTTTATGACCTGAAAATTGGAGAATTCCAGTAGAATTCCGGCCAAAACTCCACTCGATGGCCATCGCCGACCACCACAAGCCACATAATTCCGACGGAAAGCTCTGGAAGCTTTGTCCTTTTTGGCAATCAGGAACTATCTCTTCATCTTCTTCGTCTACACAGAATCTTCACTCTCAGAATCACAGCCACCAAAACGGCGTCGGATCAAATATCTCTCGCTCTTCTACGTCTGTTACCTCCGTTGCCAGATCACTGCTTCCGGCTCGGCGTAGGCTTCGGCTCGATCCAGCTAACAATCTCTACTTTCCTTGTGCGTCGCCGTTGACTATCTTTGACTTTATTTATATTACTTTTTCATTTCCTTTTAGCTCAACAATTTTCAGTTTTTTTAAGTCATGTAATTTCGTGTTGGAGTGTGAAGCAATTACGTTCTCCTTTTATTGAGATAATTTAATATTTTTTTGGCAGATGAACCGGGAAAGCAGGTGAAGAGTGCTGTAAAGATTAAGAACACTAGCAAATCTTATGTCGCATTTAAGGTAATTTATTTAAGGATCCTTTACGTAATAATTGGTGCTAGTAAGGTCTGTAATTTTCAGAAATCGCTTTTAATCTTATCAATTAATTTATGCGACCTGTGTCAAGTGTTTGGAATCTATAAATTGAAGGTGTTACATTAAAAAATACGAGAAAGAGACGCTAGTAGGAGGTGTAATTAATCTCCTAAGTGATTTTACCATTTCTGGATCTTCTGGATGGTTCATGTTGAACCAATAGTATCTACCTTCAAACCATTCACATTTACTCTTTCTTTGGTGTGAAGCTTATTCTCATATCTCAAATTGGTCTGTTCTATGCTTTAGGGTCGAAGACTAGACCAAGACAAGTGAGCTAATGACAAAGCAGAATCTCAAGTACATTGATGTCGCAAAAGGGCGCTGGGTTAATATAATTATATATCTTTCTGTAATCAGAAATCTAAAAAAGATAAAATAAAGAAAATCATTTTTTTGCTGTGCAGTGAAGCTCCCTGATTTATAACTATTGTCTTAAGTTCTTGAATTGACGATGCATCTTGCAAAGACTTTTCAAGTCTAAATTGTTGTTCTGGTATTCTTATGAATAATATAGCTGACCTTGTCTAGTTTAGGGTTGGGGCATAATAGTTGTTGTTGTTGTTATTTATGGAGGTTTAATTTCTGATTGCCTTCTCAGTTCACACCATATAATTAGTGGTGTAAGTTTCTGATTATTACCTTTTATTCCCTTGATTCTTCCTTTTGCATTTCAAGTTTCAAACTACTGCACCAAAGAGCTGCTACATGCGACCTCCTGGAGGCATTCTCGAACCTGGTGAAAGCGTTATTGCCACTGGTAATTGGTTTGCCTAAGTTATCTTGTTTCCAGTATCTTTTTTGGATGTAGACGATCAACTTATATTTGGATTTTGTGACTGAATGATAGTCTTCAAGTTTGTCGAGCACCCTGAGAACAACGAAAAGCCTGTAGATCAAAAGAGCAAGGTAAAGTTCAAGATCATGAGCTTGAAGGTTAAAGAAGGAACGGATTACGTACCTGAGTTGGTAAGCGACTGAACATCCTAGGTCTTTTTAAAAGTGGCAATTTTATGGGTTTGCAGCATCTTTAACCACAAAGTTAGTTAGGGTATCATGCTTCTTCAACTTCAAATACTCATCATGTGCAACACATTAATTTTCTTACTGATGATTCGTGCATTTTAACTTAACATATTAACATGGAAAGGTGTATATGGACTTGTCTGGATCCTGGACATTTTTTTGCTTTTTGTCCTTTTGGTGCTGAAAGTCGTGAGTTCTTGATTTGTCTATCTGTTCTATGTATTTTTCTTTATGCAATGATGGACCCTGTCCTATCTATCCGAACATCTTTACGAAAATCAGCTGGGGATTATATTATTTACCGCTTATATAAATAGAGCATTTTATGGTAAGATGCAGGTAATATGGAGCTCTATCATAGGTCCGCATTATTTGAAATGACATATTCATGACATGCTCCTGTATAATTGTATATCTATCTTATTAAATATGTTAATAATTTGTTAGAACTTAGAAGTAGTAAATTAGAACTTAGAAAAAGCTCGGATCTTTGGTACACCTTAATTTCAAGACAAAAAGTTCATCCAGGATGTATAGCTTATTTGTGGTGGCTGTATTCTTGTAGTTCTGTGCTTGCTTCTTCTTTGTCCTACACTTAATTCAGGAGCTTCTCTTACCACCTTGGCTATGGTGACATAGCAGAAGCTCTTTCCAGTAGGCTTTGGTTAAGAAAGGATATTTTAGCTGAGTCCTGTCTTTTGAGTAGAGTAGCATTAAACATTAGATAAGTTGCCTTTGGTATATTCCAAGAAAAGAATTGTTAAAATTGCATAGAGATGTGCTTGTAGTGTTGTCTTAAAATCATGACCTTCAGTACAAACATATTTGATGATGTCTTCAAGGCAAAGCCTTCAGGAGATTTTGGAAAATCCGGTCAAATGTATTCGATGCTTGATATGTACTTTCCTTTATTGTAAATTTAATCAGTTAGAACATCCTGAAAAAATGGCATAGACTGTGAATAGATGAAGTTACTGAGGTTAGGAGGTGCTTTTTACAATGTAGCTAAGAACAGTTGCTTTTGTCTGCAACTCCCAAGTTTGAAATGTTTCGCCTTTTTTAGCATCAAATTTAGGAGCATCAGAATGTCATACATAACCCATTTCTTCCTGTCCTGTCTTTGCGATAGTCAGGATTACTAAAGATTTTCTTTTCTTTCACCATCATTCTATACTCCCTTGGAAGGCAATCTTGGTGCAACAAACTGTTTCTTTTGACTTGGGTTCTCTCCTTGGAAAGCGATTGTGCATTCCCAAAACTAAACGTGGGAATTTCGTGCCTCAGTCGCCATTGTGTGCGAAATCTCCTGTGTAACTACAGAATATAAGTCTATAGTGTGACTCGAATTTGTTGTCAATAAATCCAACAGTGTTATAATCCTGTTGGTTTGTGTTGATGCAGTTTGATGAACAAAAGGATCAAGTGACTATTGAACGTGTCCTACGGGTGGTGTTCTTGGACCCGGAACGCCCTTCTCCGGTAAGAATTAGACATGTTACTGTTTATCTGCTTGTACAATTTGCTCCAAGTTCACTCTCCAACTAAATAACTTGATTGATTAAGGCACTGGAAAAGCTAAAACGTCAGTTGGCTGAAGCAGAGGCAGCATTAGAATCTCGCAAGAAACCTCCAGTTGAAACTGGACCAAAAGTTGTGGGAGAAGGTCTAGTAATAGATGAATGGGTAAGACTCTGTCTGTGTATATCAAGGCATTCGATTCCTTTAGGCTCTAACTATGTTTTTCTGCTTGCTCTTGTTCATCAATAGAAGGAGCGAAGGGAGAAGTACCTAGCTCGGCAGCAGGTTGAGGCTGTTGATTCAGTGTAAAGCACTAGCGGATTTTAATGCAAGTGCCTCTTTTGCCAAAATTGAAATGTTAAACCAGATCCATCCCTTTTCTGCTTTGGTTCTTTCGAAGGATGGTGGAGAAAAGGGCAGTGCGGTGCTTCTTGTAAAGAAAAATAATCCGTGGAGGTTTAGTTTCCCTTTCATGGGGGTAAAAGTTTGTTATGTGATCGTTTGGCTGTTTTCTTGTAGATATTGCATTTCTTTTTGCTAAAAACATATTTTTTTGGTGCCATAAAAACATAAAACTGAGTACTGCTCATGTAGCGGCTATGCTACCGAATGCTTCTTGTATGAGTTTCCCAGAGAGACAGAAACTATAGTGTTCCTTAATATGGTAGGTAGTCTACATTTAACTTCATAGGAACTATTGAGAGCTTAAAGTTGGAAATTGGATGTTATCTTTAGGAGTTTCATGCACTTTGTAGCTGCTAGGAATTGAAATAATACAACTATACGATTTACAAAGATGCTTAATGTGGTAGTAAAACTCTTCGTCTGTTTAGGCGGTAATTGTGTGGACCGCCCACTGATAACAAAAAGGAATTGCATAGTACCAAATACCAATTATTCCACCGTATAACTTTTTCGCATAAGCTTATAGAAAAACTAATTTCCTTGCAAAGATATCAAAGCTAGAGTGCTAGATTTCTATAAAGATCTCGGGAGGGAAAGACGTGAGGAAGTATTGCCTCTGCTTTTTGATCTATTAGTCCTGCGATGAATTTCCAACTGTACACAGAGAAGCACAAATTTTAACCAAACTAGTGCCAGCTAAGAAAGAAAAGAAAACGAAATTAAAAGGGTTAACCTAATTTGGTAATTAGAAAAAAAAAAAAGGCAAACCAAGGTGAAAGAATGCATGATTTATGTGTTAGGTGTTGTCTTGATTTTCTTACCATATTTTGTTTTTCTATCTCTTGAAGGAAATGACAACATATTCACCTTGATTGGGTTTTCCTTTTTGTAGAAGGAAATTATAAATCTTTCATATTTGGCTAGTCCCTTTTCTTGTGGGAAAAGGTTTGGAGTTCTATAAATTGAGGATCCTTCTTTCTCATTTAGTAGCATCCACAATGTAGCCATATGAGGTTTGAGAGTCGTGTTTAGGGGGAGAACTTTACGGGACAAGTGTTAGCGTGCCACTTGTGTTTGTCTCTTCGTGAGGTTGTTCTCTCGATATTTTGTACTCTCTTTTATTATAGTGGATTGCTCATCTCCGTCGTGGATGTAGGTCAGTTGACCGAACCACATTATATGTTTGTGTCTCTTTTGGTAGATTTCTCTTTTGTTGTCTGATTTATCGTCGTTGAAGGTTTGCTTTACTAGCTTCCGCATGACACCTCACTTTTTTCGATCCTAACACTAAGCAGTCTTCAACCCTACAAACAAGTTGAGAAAAGCAATTACACTAAAATATCTCTAGTCACATTTTCTAATAATCCAATCACTTAGTACAAGGAAAGAATAACTATGTCAAACTGAAAAAAAAAAAAGAGTTCCAAAAAGAAACGGATAAAGAAGCTAACACCAACATTCATACACAACCTATACATAATGAACAAGTTTGTATCTGGAATGCTTCGCAAGAAATTTTGATAAGAAACTCATTACAAGCAATCCAACCAGTAACCACGCCTCTAAGCAGCCACAATCATCAAGAGTTCCAATCAGTAAATCATCAAACTATTCAGAGATTTTCCGGCAATTTAAAGTTCTGTGATCCACAAATTTGATGAGAGCCATTTTCCACAAAGAGAGCTACGCCACATTTGCTACTATTGAAGCCATCCCAAAGAGAGAAATTAACAGTTCCAGAAATTGTCTTCTTTGCAGTAGTAATATCCTTGACTGAACAGAGCTTTTCCAGCTTCCTAACAACATAGTCATTTGCAAGCATTTTTCCTTTGTTTTCTCCCGTAGCGCAATCAGTCACCAAACCGCATTCGTACAGAGCAATCATGATATTGACACCATTGTTGTCCACCTTACTCCTCAGAGATCCTAATAGGGATACTTGCAAGGACTCTGGTGTTGGCCTCTCGAATGTCGCCTGTTAATATGTCTTTTGCAACATTAGCAACTGAGAGAGTTTTGATTATGGAGCATCTTCTCTTCCAATTTATTATCAGTAAGTACATGTATTGGATATATCATAGGAGGCTGACTATACCACTTACCTAGGAGGATGACTTGTAGACTTACCTAGGAGAACAAGTACAACACTATAATTTAACATTGTGTAGTTATGAGTATCCTAATAGCAACATGCATAGGCGGATGAAAGCAATAATACGATGGGTTCAACTAAACCCAATATTTTCAATATGAAATATAGGCATATATATATGGGAAAAACCGCTAAAGTTTCAATGAATATTAAATTCCGACCCATAGCTCAGTTTAAAACCTAGAGATTGAATACATCAAATTTTAAATCTTGAATCCGCCTCCCAATTGACACGTATTTTCATAAGAGGTGGTCTATATGAAATTGTACTAATCCAACGAATGCAATTATGCAAGAGTCTAATGACAGTAGTTAAACTAAACTGTACCATTCAATACAATTCTTTATCAGAATAATGTGTTGAGGTCAAAATTTAGTTACTTTTTCTTGATATCCAAATGATCAAATCTTGGATAGCACATATTAGCTTATCATTTCCAGTAGACTGTAACTTGGTGCAAGATCATGACGAATTTAATCAATCCCACATTAATTGGAATCTAACATAAAAATTCTCTGTATCAACTACGATTGTTTTTTATCAAACGGAATAACCAAGACAAATTGGTATTTGGTAATATAAGATCGTGAAGAAAGATAAAGATCTTGGCAACACCAAAATGCACCATTCTATTTATTATATAAATCTACTAATGATTCCATTTATGATCAAAAGCAAATCTTTTTAAAATCAACAATATAGTAAGAAGAACAGACCTGGAAGGAAGGAGCAGGAAATCTGGGGGCAGATTTGATGCAAGAGAAGAGAGCATCTTGTTCATTGGCAACACATTGAGCTCGTCCTTGGACCACAATTTGTGGAGTAAACATTGTATCAAGATTTAAGGCCTCAACATAAGCCTTCTGTTTAACGGTCCATAAACTCGACCCAAATGGATCTTTCCAGCCCATATAATCCCAGTAATCCACATGATATGCCAACAAAATCACCGGCATCTCCAGGTTAAAATCGCCTCTTCCTATCCTCGAAAACAACAGCTCCGCCTCAGGAGAGGTGGCGCAGCCCTGTGATGAGAATAATTCCACCACCACTGGCCCGCACCGTTTCTGCTCCTCCGCCGTTAAGTCTGCCGTTGCATTGTCGTTAGAGGTCTGGTGGTGTTTGGAAGAAGAATGAGAAGAGCCTTTGCCGAAGCAAGTGAAGAGACGGCGCGCCATTCTTGACGTGTCGTCTCAACCTGGCGATGCCTTAAGGGAGATTTGAATGAAATGTTCCAATGAATAATTTGTTGCCTTCTTTTTCTTTTTTTTTTTTTGGTTTTGTTTAAATAATATTTATGGGGTTTTCAGAGGGTGTTAAAGAAGAAGAATGATAAAAAGAGAAAAACGAAAAAGGAAAGCGTAGAATTGTAGAAATACGAGGAGACGGTGAAGAGAAAAAGGTGGCGGAACAAGTGCTTACAATGGTGTGCTATTCATACCTTTATTACAAAACGATTCCTTGGCTCTTCTTTTGTTTTCATCTATAATATAAGAAAAAAATGAAAATTATTATATTTTCTTATTGACGGAAACAAAACAAGAGTAATCGCAATCAAGGTTTTCATATAAAAGTGTAGCACAAGATATGTGAATTAGATATACGATAGATCTTGTAACACATAAAAATGTAATAAGCATACGGATTTTTATCTTATTATTAATAAGAATTTAATATTTAAATGAAGAAGAATAGAAGGATGGAAACAGTAGTCATTATATTCGAACTATGCGCCATCATTTTTAGAAGATTTTCTCGGTTATATAAAAAAAATAGCAGAAAAAAGTAGCTACTCTTCAAAAGTATTTTTCTGAGAGGCACTTTTGAGAAAAATACAGCAGTTTTTTAAAGCTTGGCCAAACACTAATTGCTGCTCAGAAGTGCTTTTTAAATTAATTAGCCAAACACAAACTGCTTCTCACCAAAAGTACTTTTTAAAAAAGCACTTTTGACAAAAAAATACTTCTCAAAATAGGCTGATTTTTGCAGATTGGCCAAACGAGTTATTAGTGATTACATCTGAACTTTAAATGAATTATGAACCAATTGATGAAATTTTTGTGTTATCTCACCCAATTCGCCAACGCAAAGTACTATTTAGATGATTAATTATAGTTAAATTATGCTCCTTCTGTCATAATTTATGTGATATTTTTTCTTTCCAAGATTCACATTTCTTATTTTTGACTATATACATTTAATTTGGAGATAGAATTTTTCAGTTTTTCGAAGTAAAAGTTATATATTTATAAAAACTACGTAAAAAGTACGATAAGTCACTATAATTAATAATTTAAAATATCTAAAAAGCATATGAAAAATTATAATTAAAAATAATTCGTATAACCTTCGATATCTGAACACCTTCACATAAATTGGAACAAAGAGAGTGTGAACTTAGACTGTCAATCTATTACAATCTCTCTTTCTTTATCTAGACTAGATTGGAAAAAAATTTATAAATGATTTGACATGGAATAAAATGTTATGCTCTTTGCATTATACAAAAGTGAAAAGAGAAGTAAAATGGGAGGTGTAGCATTATATTGCTGCGAAGGAAGGTCGGCGGCCATAGATTGAATGTCGATACCGAGTGGGTGACACGTTAGTATTGGTTTTAGGTAGGTTACGTTGAGTTGGAAACGTCAGTCGGACCATCTGTCCACTTGCAACACTTTGCAAAAAGTGCGATGCCTTCACTAGGAATCTCTTTCAATAAACAATTACTCTATCTTATTATTATTTTGAATGAACACAGATTTCCCCATATTATAAAATTAAAGCTTGAAAATAAGAAGGACAATTATACTTCTGTAGTGGTATAAACAAATTAAAGTAACATACAGCGAGAGATCAAAGATAGACGTCTATTGCACTATCTCCGTTCAAGTTATATGATGTAATTTGATTCCGAAATTTGAAGAAGAAAATATTTTTAATTTTTGTTGAAAAAATTTATGATTTTAAGTATACGATCGAATTTATATACTTATCAAATATGCTATTAAGTGTCATAGGTTGGTAAAACCAGAGACATACGTATGTTCGGAGAAAGAGTAGTCACCAAACCCTGTTAATTTCCGATTTTTTTTTTTTTTGAATATATAAATATACATATTTGAAAACGGTCATATAATTTCTTGAAACCCTTGAGATTAAA